CACTACAAACACACAAGTACGTTTTTTCTAAGTGACACAGTTAACACATGGTCCACAGTATCTTTTGTTAACTTATATTTAATTGTTATAATAATGTACAATAGAAAATGTAAAATGTAATGTAAATAATGTACAAGTAATTTGTTTGTTAATTGTTAAATTATTGTATTATTTATACACACAACCCGTACGAAGGACGGGTACACAGCTAGTTATATATATCATTTGATAAAATGATCTACTTAGCTATTCATTAGCACAAGTTCTACTCTTTCCATAAAGATTCCTGAATAACACATAGCACCATATTTTTGAAAAATATACACCATATTATTAGTTACTATCAATGAAACATTCTGTATTTAAATATTTTTTTGAATTCACTTTTTCCAAACCTTGTTGTTATCTCCTAATTACTGATATTATACATTGCCATCCATATTTTGTCCTATTCAGGTTTTACTTAACTATCATTAGTGATATTCTACCTGTCTCTTAGAGATACTGCCTGTCAATGATCCCTGCCCAAGCTGTACTTTGCATTATGACATTGTATGCTATAGGTAATGTTTAATGATTTATGTTTTGTTTTGTAATGTTATGAATTAGAACAAATTACTGATAAATTATTATTTCATACAATTATTATAGTTTTGATAATTAATTGAATAAATGTAAGTACAGATATAAAATAAAATAAAAACTCTCCAAAACTATTACATTTGTTCCATCTTTTTTGTTTTTCATTTTGACATCTTTCAAACCTTTCCTACACAAGTATGTAAATGATATAATATATATCCCAAGTATTACTATTCCTTTCATGACTATTGTCATGGGGGCTGTTTTATTAATGCACTAAACCTTTAAGATCAAAATAACTTTATTTAATGAAAACAGCCTATCTTTAAATAGTAATTTGTAAAGGTCTTTTAGGCTGTAGTAAAATGATCTTCCATAACTAAGTTATAGGAAGACAAGAAGAAGCCTTATGCATAGTCTTTAAGCATCCTTTAGACAAAAAACCTAGCTACTAGTTACATAATCTATTATGACTGCCTTCACACTTCATTATAATTAATGGTAAACAAAATGATCAATGTATACAAAACAATATTTATGCATAATATATGCATTTTGATGTGCTAAGCTCACCAGAATTAACCTGTATGTAATTTTTTGTGCTAATGATAATTTATTTCTTTGCTATTCATGTCCTAGATGCATCACTGATTCACATGAAATTTCCTGATGTTTCCCAGGCTGTGAATACAAAATTCACTACATTTTCTCAGTTACCCCAACCTATGGGAACTATGCTATATTTGACAATCTTCGTTATGTTCTTCCTACCTTTAATAAATGACATACTAGGAGTTTATTCCTATCTTTAACAATCATAATAATGCCATGATGTCATTCCTACCTTTTGCAGTCATAAACATCTTATAACATGGTTCTTACCAATCATAATCACAACATGACTGATGTAGCTTCTACATTTTTAACAATCATAATCATGATATGATACTGTTCCTACCTTTAAAATCATAATCAATATATTGTTTTTTTACTTTTCTTTTCTCCTTAACATGACTGCCTGTATGAAGTCGTCTTCTTGAAGCTGCAATCCTATTAGCTAAAACATAATCACCATGTTCACTGTCCCACTGTCTCTGATTGTTTACTAATTTAGCATTTTCTCCAGGTAAGGCTTTCCTGTGAACATTAACAGGTTTCAAATCATTATTGAGTTTTTTCATTGGTTCACCAACAGGAAACTTTGGAAGACCTAAATGATTAACATTCTTCTTGGTTTCAATTATCCCACTTCTACTGACAAAATTATTTGCCATTTTTCTATGGTTAAAGTACATTCCTTCACTATTAGCTAGGTCAACTTTTGGTTTCTGCAACATTTTAGGAGAGTAAAACTGAGGTACATTTCCAAACTGTTTCCTGATGTTTTCCTCACGAACAGCCGGTTGATGAAGGACCTAAATTAAAAAATAATAATTATTATACTGAAATAATAATATTTTATAAGCCATCAAAAACTCAAAAGTCATATGCTAACAACTCTTAAATTGTAAGGGAAAGCAATTTTAAACCACAGCTGCCAGTTTTTTAAAAACTTTGATTTCAATATCTTTAAGAAGAAACTGTCAAAAGATGCCAAATCCTAATCTAATCTGACAACTAGCAACCATTCTTACACTTCCATGGAAGTCAGTCTCTCCTGGTTTTACCAAGTACTGGTTTATTTTTTGTGCAGTAAAACTATTGGGTATTTGGTTGAAATTAGTGTTGGACTGGTTATTTCTTCCCTTGATGGAACTTGCAATGGATTGGTGAAGTTGAGACTGCAGCTGCTTATACTGGGCTTGTAAGAAGTTCAATTCATCCTTAAAAAAAAGAAAAATAAGGACAAATTCTGCTATAATTATTGTAAGTTATAATAATAACACAAAGTGAACTTTCCATGATTAAAATGAAAAAAATTATCCTTTACTTACTAAATCATAGTGACAATAAAACTGACAACTTTTAGACTAGATATAAATTTACCTCATGACAATGCATCTGAGGACTTCTGGAACCACTGATCACTTGAAACAGTTTAAGCCAGTGCTACTAGGTTTGAAAAATATCCTTCAGTGAAAACAGTTTTATCTCACGCTACATGGGACTTTGAAATATTATCTCTTATGAGACATGATTTCAATCCATGCTACCAATTTTCAAGAATGTCAATTGTTAACATAGCTGTTTTACCCCTATTTTAAGTAGTTACGATATATCATCCCTTATCAAACACAGTTTTCATTCAAACAGCCATATTTTAAAAACTAGGCTAGGTGATCCCAACATTCACTACACTTATAAGGTTTCATGGCTCCCTTGCACCCCATCACTAAAATCATAGTGGGTAGACAGTATTCGAACTATTCTGGATAAATGTATTTTGGCTTTTATGATTCCTCCTATTTCAAGAAATCAAGATAAATCAAGTGTGAAGTGACACAAACTGGCTTTTATATACATCAGATTATTTTAATCAAGCAAACTTTAAGCTTTTTAATATTGATAGCTATAGATTTTTCAAATAATAATATATGACTACAATTAATATACTCCATGTAATTTAATGAATTGTACACGAATGACTTCTCAAAAACTTTTGGCTGTAAATCTAAGCACAGAATTATGAGTTACGAGTAGGAATTAAAGTTATTAAAGGTGTTAAAAATGAGATTTTCTTCATTTTGAGTCTCAAACATCTATACGTATACATTTGTTAGATAAAATAATTATAATATGAAACCAAATATAACTACATACACAAGTGTACCAGACCTCCATTTTAGAACAAAACAAAGTGAATACCATTTGCGAGAACATATATTCTTTACTTTAATTGTCAATTCATTATCTTCAAATCGTACCAGACAAAGATCACATTATTATTATATGACAAAAAAACAAACAAAAAACCAAGTAACAATAACCTTGTACAGAATTATCACTATCAACTTCACTAAAAATACATGGTTGGGTCATTGTAAGTTATTTTAAGTTTGTTCATCTTTAGTTTTAAACCAAACATCTTTATTTATAGAGAATTTTTTGTTTAACTCGCCCATTTTCTACTTGCTTTAAATTGTGTTAAACAGTTTTGGTGAACAGCAGCATCCTCTCAAGACTTTTGCCTAAAGTTGACACAATAAACCTTCTCTTTAACCCTCTCCAGATGGGTCACAGGCCATGTCATTGCATTTATTGACTCGTATTCAAAATTTTATTGAACTACTATTTTCATGA